ACTCGAAATAAAAGTAGCCCGTAGGCTTAGTAGTCCAGTGAATGATTCGAACTCGAAATAAAAGTAGCCCGTAGGCTTAATAGTCGAGTGAATGATTCGAACTCGAAGTAACGTAGCCCGTAGGCGTAATGATCGAGTGAGTGCTTGCTCGGACTCGAAATAAAGTAGCCCGTAGGCGTAATGGTCGAGNTCTGTAACTGGGCTATCGCTACTTGTTGGGCTTGTAGCATCTCGAAGATCATACGTAAACTGGCTCCGATTTTCCCCGCGTTATAGGTATCTCGGGCTACGGATCGAGTATCGCCCTGAATGCTTTTTTCCGGTTCGGAACGCTGATTCGCCTCCAGAGCTATTCGTGAATTGACATCCAATGGTACTTCGGCTCGAATTTCGGGTACTTCGATTCGAGCCTCAGTGCCATCGTCAAGTGGCCTTCCGCCCCCGGGTGCCAAGTTTTTGGTTTCATCTTGAAGGCTGGCTTCGTGGTCGATAGGTAAAGCCATCAGTCGAGGGTTTGCCCTTGTTGATTTGAAGTTGCAAACTGGTGTGTATTGCAGATTCGTATCAAACAACCACTGTTACCCTTGGCCCCACGGTGGGCGCCAAACTGTTTACCCGAAAAATCAGATAACGTTAAATTTGTGTATGGTTCTAAGGATATGTGATACAATTTGATACAAATCGTATATATAAATAGAAATATGTATGTTCTTGGTTATGAGAATGGGAATAGTGAGCAAAAGAATGAATAAGGTAAAATAAAACAAGCATGAGGAGATATCTTTCAACATGAGAAGTGATCTTTTGTTACAATGCCTTTCTGCCTGTCCTTATGCTTACCAGGATTCCCCCTTTATAATAGAGGGATCCTACTTTATTTATAATAAAATAAAGCATATAGTGGAGGACCCATGATGAATTGTCTCTTCCTCGATTCCCGCCAAGATTCTCTCTCTTAGTGCGGTTGTAACGGCTCTCGTTTGTGAGCTCGACACTGGCTCGAACTCGTTATTGGGTCTAGCCCTCGATTTTGGCTTGAGTTCGACTTCCGGGGTGGGTGTAGCGCATTCCTCACCTCGAAGCAATGCCTTGCGGATCGATTTGGTCACGGGTTTGATAAAAGTATCGAGCCGACTCCTCGATCAGCCTTCAGACTCGAGGCTCATTTGTACTGCCTTCGGAACTCATCCCAAAATCCCACTCCGGTTGCTTACCGTTCGAACTCGATCGAACGTAGGAAGGCCGAAATCTATTTCGACCGTATACAAACTTCTTTCAGGTTGTTTAAATTTTAATGGCATCTTTCTTTCTGCTTTGCAGACAAGGTTGCAAGCTCAGGCTGCAGGTGTCCCTTATGATAGCCTTTGTAGTTTGGGACCTCTTCATGCAAATACAGTAGGTTCCCTGCACTTCCTCCCATTATGTTTTTTCTACGTTTCCCATGGACATTAGAATGCTTCAATTTTTTTGATAAATGGGAAAGTCAAATATGTTGTTCAGAAAAAATAAGAATTTTCTAAGGTAAATAACAAAAGGAGATATTCACAATGCTTATAAACTCATTAATATGGCTAACAGAATTTACTATGCTATTTGAAGTTATTAAATTTTCACCATGACATTCCAAAATTATATTTGATACTCCAAATTCAAGATAAAGCTGTTTAATTTGTACGAATTCTTCTTTTATACATCTTATGGTGCAATTCTGACTAGTTCCCACTTTGAATTTCTTAGTCTCGGTCCTTACACTGGTCCCATGGTGTCTACTTATCATTGACCTTTTTTTGTGTATGACATGGACACTGTAATGCTTCAAATTTTTTGACAAATGGGAAGTCAAATACGTAGTTCTGGAAAATAAAAATATACTAAGACAGAGAACAAAAGGAGATCTCCACAATGCAGGAAAAATCTGTTTTATCTAAATCAACTCGGTAGAACTACTTATATCGTCATGGAGAATTCTCCTTCAAGCTCGAGGAACTACCTGCACTTTCGGTTATCATGTTTGTGCTCAACCGTTTGGAGCCATATGAAATTATTAATGTCAGAGTTTTGATTCATGGTAGTGGAGTGGACACTTTTGATAAAAGGCATGGTTTGTAGGCTGCTAACCCTGGCAGAAACTAGGTGTGCTGGCCTGCTGTGTTTCATGCTATCTCCCAAATTTTGTGCGCGAGATGTGTTTAGTTTTACCTAAATTATCAATCTAAAGTTACAAGGACCAACTTAAGTTGATTAAGTTTCCACTATATGTTGTTCAGCATATAATTTTTTCATCTGCTATCTTGTTTAGGTGCTGACAGGTGTGAAGTGCAACTCATCAGGCACTCGTGCTGTTCTTGGTGCTGAACCATCATGTTCCCCAGATTGTTCCAGATATAAAGGAACACTTGATGTCTTTTATAAAGTAATACGTCAGGTTAGTTACTTTTTGTGGGAAGTAAAATAGTTACGTTTTGCACATAGTTTGAGATCCTCTGCTTTGAAATCTGTATGTCTTATTTGAAAGGCAAAATGGCCTCGTGGCCACTTAAACTTGTATCAGTTTGCCAACCCGGTAAACAAACTTATATCTTTCTCATTTTAACACCTCAACTTGATGAACTGAATACAAATAAACACGTTTGACCGTTGACTATGCTTATGTGGAAACAACGGGTTGATGTGGTCAAAGTGCATGACAATCACGCTAATAAAGCGCGTTAGAATAGAATTTTGGTGGAAAAAATACTAAAAAATGGGAAAAGAGAACATCAATTACAAAAGAAAAGATTTAAAAAGAAAAAAAAACTTCTAAAGAAGAAAAGGGAAAAAAATCTACTCCCCACCCCTACGCCCCTGCCCAACCTTTCTTTACCTTATCCTCCTTTTCCCCTTTTCTCAATTTTTGCTCTTTCCCCGCTGGCGCCTATTTCCGTCCACAAACCTCTCCTCTCCAACCTTACCCTTTATAAAACCACCACAACTCTATCAAATTAATACCATTCCATCATCCTCCTGACCATCGGAAAAGATTTTTAAGAAAAAATTCTATCACAACAACCTCTATTTTCAATCTTGACCATTAAAAATCACCTTAAATTTAAGATCACCAGAACCTTCATCGCAGACGACTAAAATCGGCAAGCACCACCATAAAAATCAGAACACGGCCATCATCATATTTTACCATAAAAGAGGGAGCTTATGGCCTAAAACACTTCATCGGCGACTACCTATCTCGATCCACCTCTCTTAGATAACACCCAAATACACTACAAACACTTTACAAACATTCTGAAATTAAATTTATAGAAAAGTAAATTTGTTCTCTGTAGATCGTTCTTCTGGCCAACTCCACCAGAAATATTTGCCACTGTTTGGTGCCGGCATTGATGAACCCACATATCTCATTTTCGTTTATGGTGACCCTTCCCCGTGTTCTTGAAGCTGTTATGCCAGTTTGGACACCTTAGCACTATTATTATATTCAATTTGTGGTTCTCACTGATGGTTGAAGGTTATGTCTTAGAAGGTTCACTCTTGCTATGGTGAAGAAGAAGAGATGAAAAGAAAAGAAAATAAATTTAAAATCTGGTAAATTGCACTTTTTATAAAGTAGGCCCCACATTTTACACATGTCAAAGAATAAAAAACTTGGTATATAATGTGTGTCATTCATGTCACAGCTAGTGAAGACCATGTTCAATCAGAAGTGTTTATTAGTATTGGGTTCATCAAGTTGAGGTGTTAAAATGAGAAATGTGTAAGTTTGTTTACCGGGTTGGCAAACAAGTGTAAGTTTAAGTGGCCAGGAGGCCATTTTGCCTATTTGAAATCCGCTGAAAGTTATGACTACTATCACATCAACATCCATCATGAACTAGTCATCTAAGAAAGTGTTGACTGTTGAGGATGATTTTGTAGTTAGGCTGCAAAAACAATTTAAAACTTATAACTCTATTTCCTTTTTCTGTACTTTTCTGGGGCATGCAAGACAACTCTCTTCTCATTATGACATCTGTTATGTACTCACAGAACAGCTATGGATTTTACATGAGATGGTCATGTAAAAGGTGATAATTCTGTAAATAGAGTTACCCTTGCAAGGGTTTGCTGTCACTACCTTCCTCTCCTCCCCATCCCCCCCCTCAAAAAAAAAGAGTTGAGTGTTGAAGTTATTGGTTAGACGCTGATACCAACAGCTGTGCCATAGTTGTTCTAAATTCATGCAATATTATCTGGTCAAAAAAGAAAATAAATAGAAACCATTGGACCTGACAAGTAGGGGATTCTCTAAACATCTTCTTTCAGTTCATTTCTGCATTTCATTGGCTCTGTGAAAGTAAACTGTCTCATCTATTTAACCCAGGTAACTTGTGCAGGAAGGAGTTAGTAGATTGTGGAGAGGCACTAATGCAAGTCTGACATTGGCAATCCCTTCTGTAAGTCTCTATTTAGAAATTCATTTGTCTTTCATTTTTCACTGGTTATTCAAGTATGAAGCACGCTGTTATGTGCAATTGCATTTACAGCTGTCTTGTTTCGTGATAGTTCTTATTAAGTGTTTTTTTGCCTTTGCAGGTGGGGATTTATTTACCTCTTTATGACATTTTTCGGAACTCTATGGAAGAGTATACATTACGTAATGTACCAATGGCTACACCATATGTCCCCTTGGTAGCAGGATCCTTAGCACGTTCCATTGCTTGCGTCACTTGCTATCCAGTTGAGCTTGCAAGAACACGAATGCAGGTAAATCTGATTATCTGCTTGATGCGGATGGAGACATTACACGATTTCTTGTGAGAGTACTATGCTAATGGAATCTCCTGCTGCTAGAAGATGTTTATCACTATTACAGTTAATCTCGTGGATAAAACTAAAGATAGATGTGTAAAATTTACAATTTTCAAATATGTGAATATTGAATTTACATTCACAAAAAAGATCAAAAGAAATTATATATTTTGGGCATGCATCTATATGCTCCAGAAGATAGTTAAAACATTTTCCCAGTTTTTAAAAATATTTTACCGGATAACGGCTTGTATTCTTCCTAGATGCTTGTATTCTTTCCAGATGTTTCTTTCCCTCTGTTGTGAATTAGTGGCTAGCTATGGTAAAAGCTAAAAGATGAAGATGGAAATCTCGTTCCACTGTTGGGAAAATTAAAGGGTTGTTACATTGGTAGTTTAGAAATATTAGTTTCTTTGTGTGATGTTTGTCTTTATCATGGTGCTTGGAACTTACCAGATAATGTTAATTTCCTTTTCGAAGAGCAGCACCACTTAGTTAGGTGTTTGGGTTTATCATGTTATGTATGTTTTAGATGCTATCTCTACCTTATTTTTCTGCTAAGTCTTACTTCGTCCTGTAACTTCATTTCTTATAGGCCTTCAAAGACACAAAAAATGGTGTGAAGCCCCCAGGAGTGTGGAAGACATTAGTTGGGGTCGTTTCTCCAGTCAATAGTGCAAACAGCTATCAAAATTGTAATACTTCTTCCTCAAACTTACTTTTGTTGTCTGCACATAGTTATGTTATATTATCTGTCCCTCTTCATGGTTAGACATTAGTCTTGAGTCGTTTAAAATGTGTGAATAGGTTCCTGCCTTATGCGTACGTAAAAGTTGTTTCAATAAACAGGCAGGGTATGTGGATCTACATGCTCCATCCTCTTTAGGGCCATCCACCTTTAACCAATATTAGTCTTATCCTCCGTACTATCTTTTTTTGCCATCTTATGCTGTTTCCTTTTCTTCCCACCGCGATCTTATGCTCTTTCAATGATAGTGACAATATTACATGCGTGCTATACACACAAGGTGGAGCTTTTATCTCTTCCTTGGATCCCGTGGGGCTCCGTTGAAGTGCAGGGTTTTCTTGTAAAATAATTATTTAAACGACCTCTTTTCTTTGTAAATTTATGGGGAAACATACCAATAATGCTAATGTGAGGAAGTTCTCTCCTAATTTATCTTGTCCTTAATTGATTTTAGAATAGATTCTACAAGAAGCTTTGACTTAAAAGGTTTTTGCTAAGAAATACTAGAACCTTTCACAATTAACTTATTTCTAGCAAAGGAAATACAAGTTAAATCCCATCATTATTTAAATACTTCACTCTAGTTTTAGTTGTTATTGAGACACAGAATGAATCAGCTAAAAGTGTAACTTACAGCATATGGCATTGGAAATATTCAATTTCTTTGAGTATTCAATTATGGAAGTTTAACTGCTCCAACTCTTTGCTTTATGGTTTTTAATGCTATGATAACACATTGTGGTTAATTACTTCCCCACCAACCAATGACTAGCAACACGAACCTACCGCCTCCTCTGGACTGGTTTGGGGGCACAACTAGCTCGTGATGTTCCTTTCTCTGCAATTTGCTGGTCTACTCTTGAGCCAGTAAGTTCTTCTAGCCCTTAACTGCATGCTATTCCTGCGCTTACTCTGCGTTTAATTGAATAGAACTCTTGCTACTTTTGTGAAGGTTAGGAGGAAGCTACTAGGCCTGGTGGGAGATGAAGCAAGTGCAACTACTGTCCTCGGTGCAAACTTCTCTGCTGGATTCATTGCAGGAAGTCTTGCAGCTGCTACAACGTGTCCGTTAGATGTTGCAAGAACTAGGAGACAGATAGAGGTCGGTCTTCTCCTATTCACCTAAAATTTTCCTAAAAGAAACAACTAACAGAAAGTGTGATTGCCCATTGAAAAGTTTACTTGGATCACGTGAGTAGTTGGACCTCTTAATAGTGGGCTGATGTCAAGTAAACATAAAGAAATTTCTGCCTGATAGTGCACACACCTAAATAAATTTCTTCTAGTTTGGCTGTGGAGTCTGAGTGTAGAACTCTGGGTTTCCTGGATCTAATGTCACATGTTGAGTGGAAAATTACGTTTAACCTCAATCACTTGACAAGTCTTGGGTTCGATCAAACATGATCTCGAAGTGAAAAAGATCATGTAGTACTTTTTGCCTTAGGCATGGGTTTACATTGATGAAACCTGTAGTGGGAACTATATCAAGTACAAAGAACTTATATTTTGTATTCACTGCAGTTAAACTACAAAGAACTCTTCTAATGTAACATTTGGATGTTGAGGATTGTTTGCATCAGATGTATCTCAAAACAACAAGGTTTTGCACAAACTGCTACGTCCAGGCACCATAACAGGAGCTCTTCGGCTCAGCTCTCCATGGGAGCAGAGTTGCTTATCTCTTCCCATATATATGTCTTTCTGATCTACCATTTTTTCCGTCAATTTTAGATAATTCAGTATTGTAATGCTCCTAGTAGGGAATGACTTGTGATTACATCATTCTGTTCAAGGAAAAGTAAGAATGAGGAAAATGAGTTAGTACGTTAAACCTGTGTTAATGTAGTTATAAACTTAACACACAGTCAAACATCATATTTTGGTGGCTGATGGGTTTGTCGATACTCGTTTTACTCAAGATATTTTTGTATCCTGGTTGTGCTGATAAGGTCTTAAATTTTTAACCCAGATTTTCTGTGTTACTCCATATCTTTTATTTCCGTTGTTTGTTGATATGGCAGTCTATTTGATGAGTTTGATTTGGACGTATTAGCTTAGAGTTTCCACTGACATCTGGCTATAATTTTCAAGAAGCTGATTGTCAGATTAACATGCATTGCCTGTTATTTTTATTAATTTAAAGAAGCATGGTGGATGTGACGAAGTAGACTATTATCTCGGCAATACTGAGCCAAGCTAGTATTTTGCGGTGAATCCCCCATTAAGTAGTCGTGCATTATGATTTGGAACGCCCGATTCTCTAGCATGCGCTTCATTTCTCGCTTTTTCGCTTTGAGCTCTAAGGATCTTGTCGCTTTTTTGTGCTCTCGATTTTAAAAGCACCTAGTTATTATTATTTCCTTCTTTTTGTTGGTTTAATGGAACTTTCAGTTGACATTGCAGAATGATCCTGAACGAGCACTGAGAATGACTACGAGACAAACGTTGGTTGAGATATGGAGGTACTTCATTTTGTTTCTTTATCTTCAGCTGCAACCCCCATCTTCCCTTCCAGCCCCTTTCAGATACTGCAATATGTTTTGATCTAGTTGACAAAAGGTAGTTGGAGAAGTAATAAGCTCTCATGAGTTGATTGACTGTAGGATTACTTTTGGTTTTCACAAACTAATCCTTTTCTTTAGGGTGCCGATTGCCAATAGGATAATTGTACATTTTATTAAGTATGGTAATAGATTTATGAAGCATGTGATTCGTTTTGGAAGGGGTATGGGGGAAGAAAGCTGAGGACGGAATGGGTATTGGGACCTCTGTTCCATTAAGAGACGACTTTGCTAAAAGTGTCTGAGGTCCCACTAAGTGATGACTTACAACTCTTCACCATTTCTAGCTCCTTGTCTTCCTTACCCTTTCATTATGATGAATCCAGTTGATTGGCTTGATGTTATGGAATACCTGTTTCGTCGTGTTGTCTCCATTTATTCTTTTTTCTTATAAGATACAGGGTGATTCTTTCATGCTGCTGAGAAAAATAATTCTATTTTATCTGGGTGCTTAGTAAGCTTTTAAGTTAGTACAAAGGGGTAGAATGCTTAGTGGATACACGAAGTTCCATTTGATCAAGATGAACCTTGGAATATGCTTGTGTCCACCTGAAATCAGCATCTTGCTGAGTGTTAAAAGATTTGTTCTTGTACTGGAAATGATTTGAAGCATAGTTTTAGTATCTCAGGACGTATAGACCATTGTCTTATAGTTCTTTGTGCTGTGAACTGCTAATTATTGTTTTCATGAACCAGGGATGGGGGAGCTAAGGGGTTGTTCACTGGAGTTGGCCCCCGAGTTGCCCGAGCTGGACCTTCAGTTGGGATCATTGTTTCCTTCTACGAGGTGGTAAAATATGCTTTGCGCCATAGGCATATGCATTGGCAGAGCAAAGATGCTGATCTATAGCACTGTGATCTACACGCCAATGAGGCAAGTGATGTTAGCATAACTTGTTCTGATAACAGGCTGAAGAGCGAAAGAACAATATTCGACCAAGTGTATTCTACTGAAGACCTGACCGTTTCAGTGATTTGGGTCATGACAGGATAATTCCTTCTAGCCAATTTTGCCTGTGAGGCTTGAAGGTTGATTTATTCAAACAAGTGGAGAAGTTTCTCCAGTGGCGTAGCTGAATAGGCAACCATTTATGCCTTTAGTTTCTTTGTAAATTCACAATCCTTCTCCCAATGTACCTATTGCGTACATACAGAGATATAATAAGAGAATAACAACTATACCCTTCTGTATTTCAGATTTCAGATTCTTTGTACTAGTAAACAAAAGAAACTAGACTGTTGTGTTGCGTGGTAGCAAGATAAAAAAAAATAGTTGTAGGAAACTTCCTGGAGGGAACTAAGGGATAATATACGTGGGGTTGCTTGCAAATGCTCGAGGGGGTGGGTTTACACAGTGCAAAAAATGGGAATTTCAATACGTAACTACAATTCAATAATTAAGTAGAAAGGGTTGAAGGAGAGTATGGGTAAAAAAGGAACCTGAAAAAAAAAAAGAGTAATAGAACGCTACTCTAAATGGCCTTATTTTTTTACTTCCACTTTTCTCGAGTTCATGTCTTCTTTTACTTGTATTAATAATCAGTGCGTTCCAGATGGTGCATTTCTTTATATCCCAGAAGACGGGTCTGAGACTTGAGATGTTGAGAAAAGTGGAAATGAGAAAAAGGAAACTAAATATATAACCACTGGAAAAATAAACATGAATGGATTGATAATTGAATCCATATGAAGAATGACCAATCATTGTCCCAAAGAGAAAAATGAAACATAATTTTAGGTTTGACTAATGCTAAGAGATAAATTTAGAAAAAATTGTAGGGAGAAGCGTCCATAGGGTGGATGAGATATGTAAGGACTAAAGCCGCCAGCATCAGCACGTATGCAATTCCTTGATCTATGGATGTTCCTGCAAATTAATTACCATGACCATATTAGCCTAAAGGATTTAAGTTACATACACTAGTAGTGGTGTAAAAAAAGATATAATCTGGCTAGAGAAACTCTAGTCCAAGTATACTCAGCTTGTGTAAATTGAATACTAATTTGTTTTATAAAGTTTTCAAGACTTCTAAAATTTGTACATTTCGAAGCAGACATTCAACTTAAATGGTTTAACAAGAAGGTCACTGAATGTTATCCTAAGATCTCTATATCTGTTGCTCTTGTAGCAGGAACAAGCACAACACAAGAGTTGTTTTATATAGAGATGTAGCTACTACAACTATTTTGTTTGAAGTTTTGAGTTGAAATGTTCACTATTAATAAGTACGTTCTTAGATTTACAAGTCTTCATTTAACTTAGCAGAGTGAATCCACATGGTTCTTAAAAGTTTTATGCTACTATTGATGTTGCAATTGTTTCTCAAAGTCAAAAGAAACAGCCGACAAAGAATCTGAATAAACTAGGAAATAATTAACCCTTTCAGAGAAGTGAAAATCAGATCCTACAAACCCCCACTGTTCACAAGTGCAAACAAGCCAAAAAATGCAGACTGTACAAACAAGACGGCACGGTGGGGGCTAGTGGATTAACTCATTATGATCAATTAATAGAGTGTTAGCAAATGTAAGTTAAATACTAAGCGAAAAGAGAAGGGGATAGAGCAAACCATCACTGGTAGGGGCAGGAGCAGGGGCCAACTCTTGAGCTTGAACACAAGGGATGAAATTGAACAATGCCATGGCAAAGATGGCCAACAATATTGAAACTACAAGTTTAGAGGCAGCCATATTCTCCCCAACTTTTCTAACTCTAGAGAGAAATATATCTTGGTAACAAAACAGTGAGGTATGCTGGCTGAGACTTTTGGACGTTTATATAGTTAGTAGGATATAATATTCTTTTTGTTTTTATTTTATTTTAAAATATAAATTATATACATCCCATTATAAATACTTTTTATCTATTAGTTAGTTTGACCTCTTATAACAAGTTAATTACTATTTTTTACTATTCGATTATCAATTAATACTTATCATAAATTTTATCTTTCATTAAATTATAAAAAACCTAATTGTATTGTATTTTTAAAATATCAATGCATAAAACTTAAACTCTTTATTTTATCTTTTAGAGAGAACATAGAAAATGTGAGAAACCAGCTAAACTGTGGGTACTGGGGTCTATCAAACTTTGTTCTTTTGAAACCCCATGTGCCACCTCTTTTTTTTCAACTCTTTATTATTTTTCCATCAAACCTCAGATTAGGGGTATTCAAAACCGAACCGAAACCGAAAATCGAATCGAAATCGAAACTTAATGGCTTATTAGTATCGGGTTAACAGTTTAACGGACGGGGAACAGATTGAAATTTTTTTATTAACGACTTATTGGTTTGGGAGCGGATTATTCAATTTTCTTAACGGATAATCCGTTAACTCGTTAAG